GGAGGGAGGTGTTCCACGGCGCCGGGATGAGGCCGGTGGCGCTGAGTCAGTTTGCGGATTTTCAGGCGGAGTGTCTACTTGGCAAAGTGCAGGTTCGAGGGTTCCAAGTAGGCAAACGGCATGCTGAGCTGGTGCTGTGCTGGCACGATAGGCCACTGGTTGCCACGTCGGCATGGAGGTGTTAAGATTAAGCCCATGGAAATTTGATTATAAATTATAATTAATTACGATAATTGGTATTAGGGGATTAGGGGTTGGGTTTACTTATAGCACGTTTGGATATAGGGACGTACATAAATCGTATGTATCCCGTAATGAAATTAATATATAACTCGGTTTTGTTCTAAAAACATTATTAAATGTTGTCACCACAACATAAATATTTCATAATTGTTCGATGTATGTATGTTTAAAATATGTTTTTTTTTTTAATATAATTTATCTCATGCAGATATGGTGGTTGTATTGTTCTAGTCATATTGAATAATTTGCCCAATGCACACTGTTTTGACTTACTATGGTTTCGGGTTCGGTCCTAATTGGGCTAGCTGCAGGCCCAAAATTAAATTCCCTGTGGGCTGTGGCTTCTTTTCAAGCCCATCATCCATTTATAAGGTATTACTTCTTAAAGCAAGGAAGTCATGAGGAGGGAGTGGTCACATCGGCGAATGTTCTTCAAAGGTATTACTTTTCAATATTTTTCGTATGCAATGTTAGTTGTAGAATTTTCCACTATTTTATCAGCTTCTTTTATGTTCATATTTTCTAGATTATTCATGGATTTTGTTTTTGTTCTTTTTGGGTCGCAAAGGGGATGTCATTTGAGTAGAGAATTATAAGTAGTATTGCAGCTATGAAGTGTTAAAATAATAAATAAACCCAATAAATTCACATCGTCTTTCTTAAGAAAAATTTTACTACTGCTAGTGTTTGAGTTTAATGAGTATTATCTTCTTATGGATGTGTAAAACTTTGTTCCACAAGACCCCATTTGTACGAGAAAGAGCCAAACAAGGGATAGATTGAACTTCAACAAAATTAAACTTGATGGGGGAGGAGAAGAGAAATCAAAACCTCAAACTTTTGGAACTTTCGAAACATATGTATAGACTAATATAGTGTCATTCATGTTTCTCCTACACGTTGATTAGATCTTGAGTTTAAAATAAAAATATATAACCTAAGAATGTAGAAAAATATCTTGATGTATACATGCGGCGCTAACAAGAAAGAAAATGTCCCTTCCTATATATTTGAAAGATAGGCTAGCTAAGGTGTCTTTTCTAATGTTTTTATAGGTGGCTCTTTCCATTTTTGTTATTAAGAAATGGACAACTTTCTCGCTTGTTGTTTTAGAAAGACGACAAGCCACTTTAGCATTTTATTAATATATAGTTTCGAAAGTCGCGAGCTCCTCTAAATCTATAACTCTGATATTTATTGAGAGAGACCCCATTTAGGGTAAAGTTTGTTTAAGCATTTATGCTCATTGTCCTCTAAACAATACGATAGCCTTTTAGATTGTATTTGCTCATGTTAATAGATTTTCACAACAGTTCCTCTACCATAGTGCAAGCTAGGAGTCTGCTTTAGAAAGTAAGGCCTACTTCTAAATTTGCTTTCAACAATATCATGAAAAAAGATAACTATGTTGTCCAATTGATAGGATCATAGATGAAATCCAACTCCTTGATTTCTTTGAAACGAGAACAAAAACAATAAGCAGGTTGAAAAAATTTATTACCCTTTGAATAATAATAAGGTTGGTTTCATAGCTCCAACTTGTTCAAAGGACACGTCAAAAATAGTTGAAGAAAGAGTTTCATTGTCTTACCTTATTATTAGAGGGAGAAGAGCTTATTAGATAGAAAAACTTATAAGGTTTAATTGGAAGATTAAAAATAGAGGGAATCAACGATTCTTATTCCACCGAGTTGAAACTAGCAACATGTCAAACAGATATAGTACACAACTCGATTCTAGAAAATATGACACTAAAAGTTGTAGAATTGTTTTTAGCAGACAAAAGTACTAGTCTTTCGTTGATCACCTATCAGTAGGGAAACAACATAGGTGACATAAATGTACTAGGGCGTAAATATCAATTGGAAGAGCATTCCTTTACCACAACAGAGTCACGTACTATTTTTTATTCACGTCATCTTACTCAGAAAATGTCTCTGTTTTTGCTTGTCCCTCTTTTTTCCAAACTCGATGCCCTCCATCACATTTTCCATAATTATTTATTTATTTTTCTTGTGCAACTCATTTATTTCATTTCATATAATAAACGACATTTACGTAAGCTTATCAATAGTCAAATCAAATAGCAAGAGAGAGAAGAAGCGAATAGAGAAAGATTATGATTTACATGGAGCGGTGATAAAATTTCTACAAAAAAGGAAAGGGACACTAATAATACATTTGATAATATGTTCAGAAACTAAGAAAAAACTATTAGCAAGGATTAGATGTAGGGATTAGGCCATTCCATTTCCATGCCATAAATGCAAGTGTTGTCACTTTCAGCCTCAGGCATGTAATAAAACACATCTTCAAGTTCATATGATCCAAATTCCCCAAGGCATGAGTATGACGTGGGGTCCACGGCTTCCATTGACATTGATGGGCTTGGGCTGCTGCTCAAAGGCCCATCGGCCCGCATCAGCCTCTCCTTCTCCTTCTCCGCTTCTGAAAGTTGTTCCTTCAAATTCAGTATCTGCACCAAAAATAATATTTTTTAAATTAAACCTGAGTCTTTATTTGAGATTTTATTTAAAAAAAGGAAGAAAAAAAGCCGTGGGTTGTTTGTTTTGTTTCCTGCGATGGGTGCAGCTGCAGAGCAATGTAGAAGTGTGGCCCACCGAAGTGGGATAATGGGCCAGGCCCATGAAAAAACACAAGACAACGTTGTACGAAACACTTTTTAATTACTTTTTTTTTCTTTTTTCTGTTTTCTTGTCTAATAGGTGGCAGTAAGGCAATTGGCTTATCAAAAGCTCCGTCGTACTTTATTATTATTATTATCTTTTATATTTTTCATAATAAAAAAATAAGAAAAATATAATATTTAGCACTCGAAAGTGAAGGAGGTGGCGTGGGTTTCTTCGAGCCCAGAGCCCATGCACGTTCATAAATAGGGGCCCACTCCCTCTCTCTCTCTCTTCAAAGTTATTAACCTTTTCTTCAAACCCTCACCTCATCCTCCATTTCTCCTCCTCACAAAAACTGAGATTTTTTTTCTTTAAAGCTATATTAATAAAATATATATTTTAATAAATTGAATGTTCCGATTTAACTAAACAGAATTTAAAAACTGTAATTTGAAAGGTATATTAGTTAATTTTTAGTATAAATCTTTCTAGTTAGAAACAAATGTTAATTACCATTGAGATAAGCCGGTTAAAGATCCTAGGATCTAACAATAATTTATAATAGATATGGTCTGTTCATGAGTATTGATATGGTATCAGAATTCAAAAGCTATTCGATCCAAAAATAGAATTTGATCCAAGATTGGTGAACCCAAAAGAGATCTAACAATAGACGTTCCTCCGTCAATAGATTTTGAGATGAAACCTCGTGAATATTTACAAAGCTTATGTGACCTAGTTAAGTTTTAAATATGGGTATGTTTTAGATTATTTGGATGATGTGTTGAGAAGAGAGAAATGGAGAGGAAAATGACCTCAGTTTCGAGGCGGCATTTTTCGACGACGACGGATTCGTGAAGCTTTTTCAAGTGAGAGTATTCCTCCTCGAGCTTCTTGTTCTTCCACCGTGCGCGGCGGTTCTGAAACCAGACGGCGACCTGCCGGGGATCCAGCCCCAGCTCCGACGCCAAACGGTCCTTTCTTTCCGACTCCAATTTGTGTTCGCTCCCGAAATTCGTCTCCAAAAGATGAACTTGCTGGGCCGTCAGCTTCCTCTTCTTCGCCGCCGCCGCCGCCGCCTCTGATTCCGACGACCCTCTGTTCTTCTTACGACGTCGTCTCGGCTTCGACTCACCCGAATTACCTGCGTCCGTAATTAATTACTTGATCAGATTTTGCCAAATTTCGTGGAAAACATAATGGACTGGTCAAAATTCAAAATTGACCACGACCCTTTACGAATAATGCAATAAAAAGAGGCATCGATTTTTCACCTTTGGTTTTTTGGTGGGTAGAAATAAAAAATTACCTTGTTGGGGTGCCATTTGGATGTACAATCCAGTGTACAACTGAGAGATTTGTACTGCTTGATGCTCTTCAGTAATTTGGTGGTTCATGGTGGTTTTTTTTTTTTTCTCTTTCTCTCTCTAGATGTGAGGGTTTCTTGGGGGTGAAAATGGGTAATCAAAAGTGTTGGGGAAATTGGATTGGGAAAGATACAGCACAGGGTGCCTTATTTATAAAGGAAAGTGATACCTCTTCTTTCTCCACCCTTTTTCTAATCCATGGCCTCAATTTATCGAAATGCCACTGGGGATTTGTGGGATATTACGGTTGTGCCATGTATGTGAGATTTTTATTTTGCAAAAGGGGAGTGAATTTCTAAAACAAAAAGTGGGTGTGGTCTTTGGTTACGTGTCAGGAGGGTGGGTTGGTCATTTTGTATCATAAGCTTTTTTTGGTTAAAAGAAAAAACTTTGAAAATGAAAGGCTCTAACATTACTCACGTCAATTTCTTGCATCCCTCCATGAACAAAGACAAAAATTCATTTAATTTTATGTCCTTTTTCTTTTTTCCTTTTATAATTTCATGGGAAGAGATATGTAATGTAATATAGTTTAACTTTTAGCATTATGTTACAAATAAAAGAGGAAAACATTCCAACTTACCCGTTACCACTCACAAGAAATATAAGAAGAAGAGATTTCTCAAAAATTATGTTCACAGTATTTTATTTATTATTATTTTTTTATATCTTCAATTTCTCTGTCAACTTATGCAGCCGTTTGATCATATAGGAAACACATAGAAAATAATTCCTAAGTAGGTGACCATCTTGAAAAATTATGTTCACGGTGGTAAAATACTCTATTATTATTATTTATTTTTTTGTTGTCAGTGTAATTTTTTTTCTCTCAAAACTTTATGAGAAATAAGAAGGGACATATATTGAATGCAAGTAACAAAAAAGGAACAAATGAAAACAAAGGTGGATAATATCTCCTAACTGCTAGCCAAATACTAATAGAGTAATGGTTACTATATATAATTTAAACATTAACATAACATAAAATTTAGTAAATAAAAACAACCCCAGTCAACTCTAGCACAACTCAGTAAATAAGACATCAATTACCCTATGTAGAAACAATATTCATTTCAACATAAGAGATCAAATGAGACATTGATGGAAATGACTTGATTTGTATCTCAAGGATCTCTATAATAGTATGATATTGTCTGTTTTGAACATACGACTTTGTTTTTTGTTTCATCCAAAAAACCTCATGATAATGGAGATAATTGTCCTTATCTATATATCATGGATCATTTCCTTCCTTGCAAATACATCTAGCAATATATTTGATGCATCAAATGGTAAATCAAGAGAGAAATGAAATGGAGAGAAAAAAAAACCATGAACAAGAGGGGGTAAAAGAATCTTATTTGGCCTACATTTGGGGGAGAGGTGAAAATTCCCATAGCAATGGAACAGCCAAGACTTTGGCATTTCCTTGTTAGGTAATAAGAAAAGAAAGGTGGGGGTATAGTGGTACAAAAGGCTGCCATGCCACCCACTAAAAAGAATTTAAAAATAGGGGTTGGAATTGGGATTGGATCCCAACACCTGAGACTGAGAGAAAGCTCTGAATAATAAAATAACATATTTGAACAGTTCCAAATGTACCCTCTTGATTTGGACAAACCAAGTCCCACTTCCATTTTGTGTTGTTCTCCAATTGGGTGGAATTCTTTTGCATTGCTACTCCTCATCAGCCTTATAAATTCTATGGTGTGCCCCATTTCCACATCTTTTTCAATTGGCCACACCTAGCTTTGGGCCTTACTTTGAAGAAAACAAACAAACAAAGTTGATAGGTCATAGGTCATGGCGTGGCTCGAGATGGGGCGGGGCATAAACAGTAACTTCCGTTGTTCTTTCTTTTGGGACATGTCAACAAACAGTTCGCCTCCCTCTGTGTATCAGAGTTATAAAAGTATTGTTCTCAACTTTATAAGAATTTCGACGATAGTGTCTATTTAGTTTCCAGACTTAAAAATTCGTCACTTTACTCGACCTGTTTATTGAATGAATATTGATTGATTTAGTATAATGTGAGATATATAATTGAAGCCTTCTGAAATCTATGGAGTAAAAAGATACCTTTATTATATATTCTCAAATTTAAGCTAACGTAAATAAGTTGAAATTTTTTTTTACTCGTTTCGAAAATATTTGACTGACTAGTTTAGTGAAACAACTTTGTCTTGTAACGTCAAATTGCAAAATTATTATTGGAAAGTCTTTAAACAACTCTAATTTTACAAATTTGGATGGAATCCTATCCATTTATTTCCAAAAGGGAAGGAAAAAAAAACCCTATCCATTTCTCTAGAGAATGAAAATAAAGAGGGTGTTAGTACATGTAATTATGGGGGACAGATGGTGGTGGAAATGTATGGTCCTTTCCATTCTCTTTTCTTCAAAATGTTAAATTGTAAAGCTGAAATATAGTACGCATTTGAGCTAGCAAGGCCTCATCTCTTCTTTAGAAATTAATTTTTTGAGTTACATCTTTAACCACACTTTTTTTTTATTATAAAAATAACAACATATAAAATGAAAAATAACAGGTCACAACATCTCACATATATTATGTTATTGTAATCGTAAAAAGAAAAAAGTTTAATAATAAGTATTTTAATAGTGCTTTCCAATCAAGCACACTCGTGTCAAGAGCACTTTACAAATGCTAGGCTCTCTCCCTCTCTCTCTCGTAAAGATTTTATTGAAATTTTTTTAATGGAAAGTAGTTTTGGTCATGATAAAAATAATGGACAAAATACTCTCAAATGTAGCAATACTATATTTGCGTCGATGTGTTCATACTATCATAAACATTAACATCATTCATGGAGAATAGGAAAATTAATTAATTAGAAAACAAAACGAAACAAAAACTTTATTTTGATTTGATTACATGTATGTGTGTTGGATAATGAATTTGTAGTGGTTTTTAACGAACAAAGGGGTGAAAATTTTCCAAAGGGGAAATTTTGGGGTCACTTTTTTTTTTTTTTCATCCTCCATATGCAATGATTTTTACTTTTTTATTATTATTTGTGTGTGTTTGTGTGTTTGTGCCAAACCATGCATTGATTCTACAAAATTACTCAGTTGCATACACCAATTTGATGACTTGTTATTTGGCCTTTTTGAAAATGGACATGGTCAGAAAAATGGGACTCCCAGTTTTGGGAGCTACCACGTGGCACTCATATTGACCAACTTTCATGGGAAGATTCATAGCATTGGGGTAAGGTTAACTTTCAAAAGCATTTCCACTTTCTTTCATGTCTTTCACCTTTCACCTCAATTTTAAATAATAAAAAACAAAACAAAACAAAACCAAAAAGTAATTAAACACCCAAAATTTATGAGTGACACTTTCACATCAAACTCTAATCTGATCTGAATTAATAGTAAATTTAGCATTGGTTAAAAATATTGGTAAATATAGCATCAATTTTTAAGAAATTCATCAATATATATCTCAACCAAGATTTTAAATGTTCGCCTGGATGAAAATGTCGAGTTCTCAATTTCATGAAAATATCAATAAAATGTCGATGTCGATTGGAAATTTTTGTAAAAGTGATAGGAATTAAAAAATCGTAAAAAATATTTAAATTAACAAATAAACATTTTCATATTTCTAAAAAAGTTAAAAAAATAATAACTATTGATATTGTGTATATATTAGTGACATTTTGTTGATATTTTTTATATTTTGTCTATTTTTTTTGTAGTATGATGAAAATATCGATTTACCCCTTATGTCGATGTCAAATCCATGAAAACGTGGACATGTCGATGGATATTTAGAACCATGATCTCAACTACCAGTGATATACTTTATCAATGAGGCACTCCCATACATATTGTTACACGTGAAATTACCATAGTCTAGATTTACCTAAATTGAGGCTAAGAAAAGCCATGTGGGTCAAGCCTTCGAGCCGAATCAACCAAAAAAATCATACTCGACCAGACTTACGTTAACTTGAGGAGACTCCCATAAATAAGAGAGAAGAGGTCCAAGGTGCGAGGTACATTCTACAAATGCTATTTATTTCTATTTTTAACTAAGCTTTGTGTCTTAAACAACGGAGTGCGTTGGGTTAGCTTAATACCACAATCCGGTGTATAGATCTATTGTGTGTATATGTGTTCGTCGGAACATTCCACGTCAAAGATAAAACCAAATCCCACATCAACACATATAATAACCCCTATCAACAATAAACACGAATTGACATGACTGTATTTAGTTGTCAAAAATCTTTATAGAATTTTGTTTACTGCAACAAATGCGGTGAAATGATTCAATCTCATAATCTGGTAATCTCTTGGAACTCATTATTTTAAAAAATCTATTTACTATTATTATAACCATCAAGTTACCAACCAAACAACCACAACAGTAATTTATAGTAAAAAAGAAAAGAAGAGTGGTGTGGTGGAGTTTAATTGGTGTGGCACAAGCTGACAAAGCATTCCAATGGTGACCTGGAGAGATAGAGAGAGAGTAAAAAAAGCAGCGTAAGAGGTGACTTTGATTAGAAAGCTTGTCTAATGAGAGAGAGAGAAAAAATATATAATTAAAAAAGAAAAAAGAAAAGGAAAAAAGAGTTATAATTTGGAGGAGAAAAGGCTGTGGGATAGAGACAGGTTCCACGGCAAAGGCAGTGCACATGGGAGCAACCATCACTCGTGTCACTCCCCCCAAACCCAATTACCCACAACTCCGGGACCACCCCCATTTTACTTACATCTATTTTTCCATTTTTCTTTTTTAATTCATTTTTCCCCTCCGACCCCGTTAATTTTCTCAAACTCGGTACCCCGAGAGCTGCCTCTCGCTCCCGACCAGTCCTTGTCTTTCACATGTCCTACTACCATTCTTGTTTGTCCTCCAGATACACTCGCTCACTTTGTCGAACCAAGGCGTGTCGATCGAACAGCATCGCATGGCATAAATATCTCTAATACATGGGACCAAATCGTGTTTTACCAACGGTAGTTTTTAACTTGATGAGAATAAAAAGGTGAAAATTCTGAGAGCCAATTATTAACCGTCAGTGAGGATTTTCAATGGCAGGATGATGGGTGAATTTGAGTGGTAGG